ATTTAATAATTATTTATAAAAATTAAAAATTTTTAATTGATAAAAAAATAATTATAAATGTATTAATTAATAAAAAGTTTAAAGATAATAATGATATATATTAAAATTTTATGGGGTAAACTATAAATTTAAATTAAAAATATTCAAAATTTATGGTATAAACTTATGCAAGATACTCTTGCTTAAAATATTGTTTCCGTCTTTCATAGTTTATGCTAAATAATCCAAGAAATGATTTTCTAATTCTTTAATTTATGAAGAAGAAACTAAATTTTTCGGAGATTATATTTGATATTGAAATTTTTTAAAATCTCTTATATTTGCAGCCGGTTGTGCGCAAAGTTTCCAACTAAGTCGAGATACTAATCCTTTAACGATAATACATTTGATGTATCGAAAGTAAACTGATAGAGACGCTGCAAACGTTCGAAAAGAATTATGCAACATTGTTCGAGCACGGACGCGCCGCGCGTCCTGAAATGCAGGATCGTCGTAGCGTTCACGAGAGAATCGAAGTTCAAACTCCGGAATAATGTTAGGAAAATACGAGCGTGCTTCTCGGAGCGAAGAGAACCGCGTTTCCTACCAGCACGAAACGGAACGGGACATTCTCACCGGCGATATCGTCCGAGTGTCCCGCGAACTGCATTGTATATCGCGACAACATCTCAGCAACGCCGGTCGCGAAGGGTCCCGAATAAATTTACGTAACGAACGATGGGGATGCACATAGATACACGCTCTGAGCGTATGTTTGCGGGAAGTTTGCACGGATACGTGCATCCTCGTGAAGCACGTGGCGCACGTTACTTTGCAAAATAATGCTAATAATAGTAATCGTATTGAGTTTCTTGATTTATCATTTCTCGCAGATCGTATTGTCTACGAATACTCATGGTGGCAAGTGCGCAGAATTAAATATAATTAAATGTGATCTCGAAAATGATTTTGGGAAACATTTATTTTTGAGAATCTCTTTGAAGGATTATAATAACCTGATAAAAAGAGAAAAGACATGTAACGATCTCTAGGATCTTGTTACAATATACCATGTACCTTAGAATATGTCTCATTACTTTATTAAAATGATGTCTTGCGTGTCATTTTGCGTAACATGTTACAAGGGATAAGACACTTTTATTTATATTTTGCAAAGAAGGACATGCATACTTTTAATAGATTTTAATCTTATAGTGTGTAAATAGAATGTTAGAAATGTAAAGTCTATGCAAAAAAAATTTACAAATGTAACATTAAAATTTTATGCGTCAGGATTTTTTAATATATTTTTTTAATTTGATAATAATATCTCAAAATGTATCTAATTGAATTTTTCTTCAGTATAATTGATTCCAATTAAAAACTCTAAAATATACTTTATTAATATAATCTTGAATATGATATCTATCTATGATATTATGAACAAAGTCGCTATCTGTAAACATTTAGCGAAACTAAAATGTTCATCTGCTAGTTTCAGAGCTCGGAAGATAAGAAAAATATAAATCGATATTAATCCATATTATTATCAATATATGATAAATGTGCGAAATAGTGAAACATTGAAAAATTTTGCTAAATTATCTAACATAATAAAATCGATGTAAAGATTTAATAATTGATTTTCATTTTGTTTAATTTCGGTGAATTGATATGAATGATTCATTAGTATTTCTTTCGTAACAGTTCAGACACGTGCATATCATGAATCGATAAATTTAACGAAAGCAGATAAGAGTTTAAATATTTGTATCATTTTCCTGTTAGTGAAATTATTTTTATATGAAAATTTCAAGATTATAGAAATGCATATTTGCAGATTTAAACCAAAACACATTGGTAGAAGATATTTTATGAAATTTCATCATATCAATATTACACTTGAAATATGTACTTTAACATATTATACTTGATAAAGTACTTTAACAATGACTTAATCGTATCTGAACAATGATTGATTACTATCAATCTTAAAAAATTTTTATATAATATTTTTTATGATATAGACAACTTGTCTATTATTTTATCATTTTATTTTATTGACGTAATTTTATTGACGTATACTTAATTGAATCACATTTAATCTCTCTTTGTGCGATGATAAGATTTCAAGATTCAAATGGCGTTGTAATTTTGATGTCCAGACACACAAGATGCAAACTGTAAAAAAATCGTTTTCATTATTTCTTGCAACAAATCTTATATTTAGGATAGTATTATTTGCTTGTCAATCCCGGATATAACTCTTCAAGTTTTTTCAATTTTTGTATGAATAGAAATAACATTTGATAAAAATATCCACCGCGTTATTTATTTTCCTAAATTTATATCGCCCAAGTTCAAAAATAAATAGTCATTACTTGTAACTTTGATCAATCCAACTAAGATCAAAAATGTTTCCGCCCGGGATCGAACCGGGGACCTTCCGCGTGTTAGGCGGATGTGATAACCACTACACCACGGAAACTTGTTGAGAGTAGTTTCGTCTATGCCTGTTTTCGAGAGTAAAATATTATTAAATATTTTGATACACATCTATTTTATATGATATTATGATATTGTGATATCATAATTCAACATCCGTTTGCTAACTCAAAAAAGAATATTACTGCTTGAATCTTTGTAAAAACATTATATAATTTATAATAAACATATAGGATAATTATATAATACCATATATGTGTGTTTATAATACATATAAAAATTGTAAATTATCAATATTTTGTGTCATTACTTATTAAAATCGATTTAACCATTTGTTATTTTTATAACTGTAATATATTTCTGCAAATTTAAAATTCTTTATATAAAGATTCTTAATTCGGCATAAAAAATTGTAAGAAATTAAGCCCATATCAGACTTGCGTTAAAGATTAAAGATTGAAAATTGAAGATTAACGTGTTGATTGTATATCATAGATTACATTGTTGTTTACACTGAGGTCATATGGCTCACTCGTGGATCACTGGTATATTCAGTTTCTGAAATCATATAATCTATTAATGAATCACGCTGTATCATCATGTATAAACTGAATTTATTTTCAAATAATGGCTTAAAGTCAGTTACCCAATTCCTGCATAAAAGTCAATGTATTAAAAATTAGAATTTAGCTTAGAACAAAAGGTGTTAAAATATCTTTGTTCTGTTTGATTATATTTCAATCTTCAATAGTTTTTATAGTCTGATACGGCTTAATTTTTTACAATTATTCTTAATAATTAATAATTAATAATAATAAGTATTTCTTATTGTTTTAAAAAATATTAAAACATGTATAAAATTACAAGATTATGAATTTTAAATAAATATCGATAACAAATATTAAAAATATAAACATTTTTCGCGATAACAACGATAACTATTGTGTAAACAGAACAATCGATTATGTATTTTTCGATCAACTTTTATATCTTATTTGATCAAACTCGTTGGTAAATTCAAGAGATTGCCTATATTAAGATTAAAATGTTTTATCAAAATATATAAGTCATTTCACATTTTCGATAGAATCATATGAGGTAAAAAATAGTACAAAAAATAAAAAAATATTGTTCATTAACGATTCTCACAAATTTATTTCACTTTTGCGCATAAATTCTCGATTTCCAAATTGACTTCGTATTTCGAAATGAACAAAGCCTGAAGTTTTGAATTCATCACTTTATTCATTTCTATAATTTATCGTATATAATGCGTATGACAGTTAATGAAAAAATCCTGTACAGACAAAACTCCGATAAATTTAGACTCCCTTCTTCTTCCATATTACAAATACATGCACAAAAGTCTCTATATTTATTCGTGACAAGGAACATAGGAACGCAATAATGCTTATATTTCTTTGTCGTGGAAAAAATGTAGCTTATCGAAATTACTTTCCGAGTTATTATATTTTTACATTTATCTAATTTCATATTTATCGTTATGACAAGAGATTTTCGACGACACGCATCGAGAACAAAATGCGTCGTTATGTGCGATAATCGGTAGTGCGTACGTGTGCGTACGTACAGGGTGTCCCAAAAGTCCCGGACCGGTCGAATATTTTATAAACTATGCACTTTAGAAAGAAATGTTTCAGACAAAAGTTGTATGGCTTGAAGGGGGCCATCAGATAGTGGCAATGATTTGACCTTGGAGAGTCATTTGAAGGTGACGTAAAAGTCACCTTTAATTTCTTAAATGGAACCCCCTATTTTTTATTACATATTCGTGTAGCTTATTTCGAGAGCTTTTCAAAATACTATAATAAAGTATTTCTTCATTGAGTACTTTTCGAGTTATGAGGTTTGAAATCATTTCTTAATTTTGCATAAACCATAAAATATCTAGTAAAATATTCATTTTTCGATTATCTTGCCTTAATACTTTTATGTACAAAATAATGAGAGGAATCAATTGATGTAAAGAAAACATATAGTTGTTTTTAAAACATATAGTTGTTTTTGAAAAAAATATGTAATTGTTAATTGCATATTTTTAATTACATATTTTTTTCTTAAAAACAACTATGTTTTTTCTTTGCACCAATTGATTCCTCTCATTATTTTGTACATAAAAGTATTAAGGTAAGATAATCGAAAAATGAATATTTTACAAGATATTTTATAGTTTATGTAAAATTAAGAAATGATTTCAAGCCTCATAATTCGGAAAGTACTTAATGAAAATTAATTTAATTATAGTGTTTTGAAAAGCTCTCGACGTGAGCTACCAGAATATTTAATAAAAAATAGGGAGTTCCATTTAAGAAATTGACGATGATCTTCATGTGACTTTCAAATGACTCTCCCATGTCAAATCATTGCCACTATCTGACGGCCCCCTTCAAGCCATACAACTTTTGTCGGAAACATTTCTTTCTAAAGTGCATAGTTTATGAAATATTCGACCGGTCCGGGACTTTGGGGACACCCTGTATATGCGTATCGATGCATTGTTGATGACTGGTGATAACGTCGCCGAACGTTGCCGAGTGTCGCCGAGCCTCACCGAAAGTACGTTCTCGTTGAGGAAGCGAGGTGTGCGATTGTGTGCGATTGGCCGTCATTTACCGCTCGACTTTTGCACTGATCGAGGCAATTTGCAATAGTCGAGTAGTGCGTCGTTCTCCGTGGATGATCACACATATCACATTGACTGCCCTAGACCCGTCAATTTGCACGGAATTCAATTGCGCATCTCGTCGCGTCTCGTCGTGTCATTGCTTAATGACTTGCGACTGGCAGTCGAGGATCGAGCTGTCTTGAAAGCATGAAGAAGTTTCTGATCGCGTTCAGCGCGATTCTAGCTGGTGAGTTTTGCTTATATTCGGTCGATACTTTTCATTCCGCCTTTTCCTTGTTTAAGAAACTGCAGCAGCATTTTTCTCGTGTTGCTCCCTTTTTTCCTCGGTGGTACTTTTCCGATGTGCGCATTTCCCTCTGGAATGTTTTTCATTTGGCAGCGCGCATCATTCTATGTTTGTGCCTTGATTTCTTCAAGATTGCGATATTTGACTTTTTTTATTAACTATCCGAGAACTTAATTTTATTCAACGTATCGGTTCTTATTTAGCTTATTATTTATTATTTTTTGCTCCGATATAGGCTACTTTTCTTTTTCTTTTGTTCGATCTTTTGTCTCGCTCTCGTCTGTAATGCTCTGTCCTTTTTGCGCCACCGATTAATTGCGTTTCGCATTACTCATTGCAAAGACTTTCCTAGGATGAATAAAATGACTCAGTTGGTTTAAACTTGCAATTTGTCAATTTAGATCGATGAATACGCCACTGTGTCGGAAATGTGCGTCGCGATAATAATATCATTAACAATGTTGCTTTTTGTATCTATCAACTGTATGATAATTATGTTTTCGCATCATGTAAGATGATTCTGCTTTGAAATTCCTTGAGATATGTTCATGATTTCTCTGAATACAATGACTACAGCAGAAATCAGAAACCACTTTAACAAGGAACTTTTAGTGCTTCCTATTACAGATTACTCATCGTTACAAGAAGCTAATGATATTATACTATCATGTGTGTCCTATTTCTTGAATCTAGCGTAACTTGACTTTAGCGATTTAATTTAATACAAAAATTTAGCATTTATTTAGGTCAGATAAGATTGTGGAAAATTATATAAATATACTTTTTCATTTTCAGTATCTACAGCTGGAGTGATTATAACTACTGAACCAAAAAATGATCCCACACTTTTGGGTTCAGATGAATGTTCGTGGGGGCCCAGTTATTGGTGTGAAAATTTAAAGTAAGTTTAGTAGTTGTTTATAATTTAATATATATATTTTAATATAAATTTTATATAAATAAAGTAGATTGAGAAAATGGATTTGTAAAGCATTTTTAAAACATATATTGTGTGTACTTGTTATATATTTATAACTTATGAGGCTTAAATAGTAATGATTATATACTTAACTAGTAATGAGGCTTAAATAGTAATGATTATATACTTAACTAGTAATGCTTAAATAGTAATGATATACTTAAATAGTAATGATTATATATACATTGTAATATAGAATTTTTCTGGATAAATATCGAAGTGTAAAGGCTAAAGAGATAAAAATATAAGAAATATTTTTTATTTTAATTAAATTTTTATTATATTGATATTATTTTAACAGAGTAATATTGATTATATTAATGTTTTAATAACAGAACAGCTAAAGGATGCAATGCTGTTAACCACTGTATTCATCGATACTGGGAGCAAATGGAAGTTCCGGAGGACAATGATAATGTTTGTGGAATCTGTAAAGATATGGTGCAACAAGCACGGGATCAATTAGAGAGTAATCAGACTCAGCAGGAATTAAAAGATGTTTTTGAAGGCAGTTGTAAATTAATCCATATTGATCCAATTGTTAAGGAATGTATCAAGATTGTGGATCAATTTATCCCTGAACTTGTGGAAACATTGGCATCTCAAATGAATCCATCTGTGGTTTGCTCCGTCGCAGGACTTTGTAATAATGCTCATTTTGACAAATTGCTTTCACAATATCCAACATTAACAAAGGTAAGAATTAATCATACAATTTCAATTCTGTGTATTACTTAAATTTTCCTACCTCCACCAATCAATCCTTAATCAATCTCTCTTCAAAATGAGACAATTATAACAATTTTCAATCATCAAATGACCTATTGACACATATATATCTTGTATTTATCATTTTCTCACAAGTATTTTTGTGTAATGTGCAAGATTAGATTGCTCTATGAAATTTTATTTCATTATAAACAACATCTAATAATTTTTTAATGATAAAGTTTATAAATGTATTAAATTTTATCTCTGCATATTGGGTAAACAGCTGGTGAAGACTTTATTATTAAAGACTGCTATTTATATTATTCATGTATTAATATGATTGACAAAATAATTGTTAACAAGAAATGTTGTATTTTTAGAAAAACATAATTAAAACAAAATCAGTTTTCTTGAAGAATGACGAACTCGAGCCTGACGAATGCAGTAAATGCTACACGATAGCAAAGTATATGGAAAATAAATTACGTCATACATCGCGAGATGCAATGCTTTTGCAATTTTTGTATACTTGCGGCAAATTTGGTTCTTATTCGGATTCATGTTCGGCCATTATTATAACTCATTTTAATGCTATTTATGATCATTTACAAAATAATTTCAATGCCGATAGCATATGTCACTTATCAGGACAGTGCAGTGACAAATATCATAAACATGAAGACACTATCGATGCAGTAAGTATATTAAAATATATTAATATATACATATTTAAATATACATATATATATATATTTTTTTTTTTTAAAACATTTTAATATATTTAAATATATTTTTTAATCATATTTTGATTTAAAAGCAAATTATTAAAATATATCCTGCAATGATTAGGTTCCAAAAGTAGAAATAACACCACTGTCAAGTGTTGGTATGGTAGAAGTTGAAGATGATCTTCCATGCAAGCTATGTGAGCAACTTGTAAGTCACTTGAAAGACCTGTTAGTTGCAAACACTACAGAGACAGAATTTAAACAAGTTCTTTTGGGTCTTTGCAAGCAAACTAAATCTTTTGCTGATGAGGTTTGTGGTTTAAATTAATAGATATAGATATTAATAGAATGTGTGTATATAATAACACTTTCATAATATATATTAATTTTTTTTAGTGTAAAGCTATAGTTGATGAATATTATGAGCAAATTTATGAATATCTTACAAAGGGGCTGAACAGCAATTTTGTCTGTCAATTATCTGGTATTTGTCCTGGTCCTGACAAAACAATACAAGTAATAACATAAATGTTATTTAATATGATAAATATCTTTCAATAAAGAATAAAGTAGAACTAGCTATATTTTAGTTGTACTTTATAAAAATTTTTTATTTTGTACTTTCAAAACAGGGACCAATTTGGCCTTTAATCCCAGAAAAACTAGTAAAAGTAAAAGACAGTATAATGAATGATAAACAAAATCAGAAAGAAATTGAAGTGACCATTGGCAAGGATCACTTAAAATCAGAAGCTGAAGAAATGCAATTGCCAATTGAGAGATTAAGCCCTTTTCCTTTGCTGCAACCTGAAAGTGTAAATGGAAAGGAAGCATGTGCGTTATGTGAATATTTGTTACATTATATACAAGATACTGTTACAGATCCTGCAAATGAGGTAACAAATATTCAAATATTAATTTTCATAGTTTTTTTAAATAGTATGGGTTTATATAAAAATTATAAATATATTAAAATTTAAGGAGAAAGTCAAGGAAGCTCTCGGAAAAATATGTAAAAAGTTACCTTCCATTGAAGGCAAATGTGAAGAATTCATAGATGCTTATGGAGATGCAGTTGTAGCTATACTTGCTCAGGAAATTGATCCATCACAAGTAAGTATAGTCTTATATTTTAGAGCATAAGGTTTTTAAAGTATAATTTAATATTTAATCATTTTAAGGTATGTCCTATGATACATATTTGTCCATCGGAGGCATTCTTTGATACACTGGAAAAGATTCCTAAAAGTTTTACCATTCAGGAGGTACAGGATAAGCCAGGTTGTCCATTTTGTTTGCTTGCAGTGACGCAAATTTATAATGTCATCAAAAACAACAAAACTGAGGTATTAATTTGTTAATCATTTATAATAATTATGATTCTTAATATGCAATTTATTCCATATATTTTATATTACAGGCTAACATTGAAATTGAATTAGATAAATTATGTAATCACTTGCCACATAGCTTGACTGATCAATGCACAGATTTTGTGAAGGGATATAGTAAAGAACTCATAGAAATGCTGCTCGCAGACTTGACACCCTCAGAAGTATGTGTTTATCTTAAATTATGTGACCAGACAAAAGATCCTGGCCCAAAGCATAATTATATTACTCAAAAGGATAAAGAGATATGTAAGTTTCTTGACAGAATTTACATAAATGATAAGAAACTTGTCATTTGTGGTTAATTGAGGATATCTCCGACAAATAATTTTATTTTATTTTTTGAATATTTCAGTGACCAACGAGATATATACTTATCCATTACACATAGTTCCAACAAATACTTTAGATGATGGAGTGTGCACTATTTGTGAATTTGCTATGCGGTATATTGATAAAGTGATTGGTAATGAAAAGAATCGAAATGCAATCGAAAAAGCGGTACATGATGTATGCAATCATTTACCGAAAACAGTTGCCAAAGATTGTAATAAATTTGTTGATGAATATGCTGATGCTTTAATAAGCATTCTAGCAGAGGATGTCAGTCCTAAAGAGGCATGTGCTTTGCTCGGCCTTTGCCAGATCAGCATAATACAAATTCAAGGTATAATAATTTTAGAGAAAATATATTAATTGTTTAATTTCAAACAATGTGTATGTGGAAATATATATTTTGGTGCAATTTGTCTTCATAGACTCTGTAGCAGAATGTGCCTTATGCCGAGCAATTATATCACAAATTGACAAGTTATTAGATAATTCAAAGGTTGATGCTGAAATTGAAGAAATAATTCAAAAAGTCTGCAAATATCTACCTGCGGATCAACAAGATAAGGTATTTTTTTACAATTTTTCGTAAAAGTCGATATAAAAGTTAAATTATATAAAATTTAATGAAAATAATTAATTATATGAAATTTATGAAAATAAAATTTGAATCTATGCAGTGTAATGCGATGGTAGAAATTTATGGGCCAAGTATAATAAACATGCTAAAAAATCATGTGGCTAGCGAGAAAATGTGTGACAAAATGGCTTTGTGCTCTTCCAATGATTATTTTGCCATGTCATTCAAGAATTCACGTGTGCTGCGATCAATTAATGAGCTTAAAAAATGCACTTGGGGCACATCATTTGTGTGTGGAAGTGAGGAAATGACTAGACTTTGTAATGTAAGTATATAAATGCATGAGACAACTAGAAATTAATAAAGAAACTTATTTTCATAACCATTAATTTTGAATTAGGTTACAAAGCAATGTGAAGATTACCGAAAAAATGGCAAGGGTCTTTTATAAATTGTAAGTAACAATTACAAGCTGGAAACAAAATCTAATAACTGAAGAAACAATGAAGATGTGGTACATTTCTTGGTTGGTGGTTTCCAGAAATATTAGCCATATAGGAAATAGCCTATTTCGTGTTATAATATGTATGATCTTTATATTAATCTCTGCTATATCAGAGTTTTCGAATAATACTGATCTGTGTAGACAGGTGCGATAAATGCTATACAATTTTCTTTGAACCAAATATTACATATAGTCTATCGTACTTATGTTACATTGATATTACAAAAATACTTATAATCCTGATAATAAGTTGCAAAATCCTTTTTTTTTAATTATAAATATAAAGCTGCTCTTTTATTAGCAGAACAATGTGGCAACATTATAAAAATCTAAATTATACGTTTTCTTTTTTTTTTAAATACATATAGTTAACAATGATCTGTTTTATTTCAAGTTTAACTGTGATAACGATGAAATAAAAGTTAACAAAAATTTGTAACTTGTTCTTTTTTTATGAATTGTGTATATTCTTAAGTACAGGTATAAATTGTATCTCTTTAATAAATACTTTTGAAATCTAATCTATCTTAAAAATGTTTTCATTCGCCTTAATTCTTGAAAGTATTCTCTGCAATTTAGAAGTTTTTTTCTCATTTCACAATACCCAGCGTCATATGAATGCCATCTGTTTCTGATATAGATGTATTTTTAGAACTATCTGTACCTGACAGACGCTGTTCGGTGTTGCTTTCAGAGACGCTCAAACGCTTTTTTTCGCGCATGCGCAATGATAATGAAATCCAAGGATGTGACGTAACGAATAGACGCGCGAAAATCTTAATCTAATATTTTTAATTCTACCGATACATTTGATATAAAAAGACACCTATTAAATCTTAAGGAGTGTTTGTAATTATCCAATATATGTTTCCACGTATATTTTCTTGCGTATGATTTTTACAGTATTTTCAAATCTAGAAATAGAAGATCTAATTGTACATTTCAGAATTGTTATACAGGGTGTTTCAGATCACCCGTATCATCCATTTAAAAACTAGAGAAGTGGTTATTTAAAAAAATAAAAACATTTTCTTTATAAATCGGGTGCGCTCTATCGAATGGTGATATTTTCAACTTCTGGTTTCGGCTGAAAATAGGCGATTCAGACCGGAAGTGCATTTTTTTAAATGGAACCCCCTATTTTTCATTGCATATTCTTATAGCTTACCTCGAGAGCTTTCCAAAACACTATAATAAATTATTTTTCCATGAAGTACTTTTCGAGTTATGAGGCTTGAAATCATTTCTTAATTTTACATAAACCATAAAATATCTTGTAAAATATTCATTTTTCGATTATCTTACCTTAATACTTTTATGTACAAAATAATGAGAGGAATCAATTGGTGTAAAGAAAACACATAAGTTGTTTCTAAGAAAAAATATGTAATTTACAATTAACAATTCCGTATTTTTTTTTATAAACAACTCTATGTTTTCTTTACACCAATTGATTCCTCTCATTATTTTCTATATAAAAGTATTAAGGTAAGATAATCGTAAAATGAATATTTTACAAAATATTTTATGGTTTATGTAAAATTAAGAAATGATTCCGGTCTGAATCGCCTATTTCCGGTCGGAATCAGAAATTGAAAATATTACCATCCGATAGAGCGCATCTGATTTATAAAGAAAATGTTTTTATTTTTTTGATATAATCATTTCTTTAGTTTTTAAATGGGTGGTATGAGTGGTCTGAAACACCCTGTATATCAGAGGGTCTGTTCTTTTCAGCTACACTGCTGCACTAGTGCAATAAGTTAGAAAGAGACAAACATACTTTTTTTCACTCTAACTAATTGCACTAGTGCAAGAGTGCAGCTGAAAAGAACAGACCCAGAATTCTTCAGGCATCGGCAGTTGCGCGCGCAACTTATCCTGCGTCATCTAACGGCACGGCCGCCATATTAGTGTGGACTGCTTCGTTTCCGATGATTCCGATTGTTTCCGCGTCCGTGTGTGACTTTCAGGTATCGTACTTGTAAAGAGATGTGCTCAAACGTTTTACATCGACCATTTGTGTGACTGCTCCAATTTAATTGATTTGTTTTCCATCGCAGAGAGAAAGCTTTCGATTGGCATCTCATCAACTGGGCACAAAGTATCTCGTCGAGTTCCGGGCTCGTATTGCACGTTGCCAAGATGATGTACACAGTAAGGGAAACAACATTAGTTTGCTCGCATTATTTTCTTACATAATCCTCATGAGTCTGAAATTTATTTTATCTTTTTCTTCAATGATTTTAATTCAAATCATTCATAATTTTCATTTTAAATTTCAATGACTAAAAATAGACCTTTTGCAAAGTAGCTTCAAGTATGCAAATGGATGACAATGTTATTTTTCATTTAACTGTGAAAAGGGATTTTACTTAAGCGGATTATCAATTTGAAAATTATACAAAAAGATTGAAAACTTGCCAAAAGTAAAATTATGATCGTCCTCTATATTTTTATGTAAGAAATAACTAAATTCTAGCCAAGAATATTTTTAGACATTAATATATATAATTTGTAATTTTCAATTTAAATCACAAGAATCTTACTTTTATATTAGATTTTACTTTATTCTCTTATCTTTTTATTTAGGGAACAACTGCTTCGCAGGATACAAGATTCAGCGACAAGGAGAAGAAACTTCTTAAACAAATGAAATTTGGAGATTCATTGACACAGAAAGTAATTGATGTTTTTTATATTCTTAAAAAAGAATAATATATTCTTTAAACATGTTTATTGCAATATGTATAGATAATCTACATATAAATGCTATTGATTTAAAATTATGAGATACTATGTAAAGTTTTAATACGTTTATCACAGGTGGATATGAGTAAAGTAAAACTTGATGTTATCAAACCATGGATCACAACAAAGATTACGCAGATTTTAGGAATGGAAGACGATGTTGTGGTAGAATTTGTATATAATCAACTTGAGGAGAAGGTAAGAGATACATTGCATTTAGTCGAGCAAAATTTGACTAGAAATAGATATTTAGTGCAACTAGTTTGTGAAAAAGCAATAATGTCAATAATACGTTCATTTGGCTTTTTCCCCTCATCGTTATAGGAAACGTTAAATATACATTATTTCAGCACGATGTTTTCGTACAAATCGCAAACATTCATTATCCAAACTTTGCATGATGTGCTGAGTTTGGATAACACAAAGCAATGAGGCCGATGTTATCTTCTATTTTACTTGTTGCATTGTTTTTTTTTTGTTTGAATTCCATAAGTTTCATCGTCCTCAGTACTCCCCGTTTTTAATCGGCCCATATACTCCCCTCCAAGCATATCCACTTTCGACAAAAGAAAAAAAAAACAGAAAAAAATTGATCTGTAGCTGATCCTGCCATATCAAACTATATAAAGCCAATCTTTATCATATATGTTTGAATTCCCCGTTAGTATAAGTAGAGACCGTTGCTGGGGCTCAACCCTTTTGTCCAAATGGCATTCGGATGTGCTCCTCTCTACATCCGATTGGCTGCCTTTCTATCAGCCGTCAGCCCTAATGTCAGCTGTGGTGGCAGTTGGTATCTCAACGTCACCTTAGAACCGCCGCAAATCTTCAACTTCAGCAGCTACGTCATCGCTGCAGCTACAGGTCGTCAACGTCATCCACGTCGCAGAACCAGCGATGATCCTTTCGTCACATCACGCTCCTGATTCCTGCTTCTCGCGTACCTTCCTGGAGCTGTGTTGCTGTGCAGTATCAACCATCACCATCTGCTGCAACGGATATCGCTTCCGTTCATCCAGCTACCTTGACCGAGGTAGTTTATCATCATCAGCTACGGGATTTCGAAAGCCTTGCCAGCTTTCCTCGCCGAGGATCACCCAAGGATCTGCGGTTTTCCGATGGCGTCATCCCTCTCCAGATGGCATTTCATTTTGGGACTTTTGGAAGCTTCATCTCGTACGGTTTCTCCGTTGGAATCGCCGATTTCGAAGTCCGAAGAGCGAAATCGAGCATCACCGCTTACTTAACACCGGACCTCGGTTCGCAAAGGACTTCGATATTCTTCCGGACATACTGTCGGTCACATATCGGCATGATTCAGGCGAAAACAGCGCCCGGTGGTATCCCTACACATGACGTTTGACTCTTTGTCACTGTCACAGGTTGGTGAAAAGGTGATCCTTTTATACAACATTATCTCTACGATTTTCAGGCGGATGTTTTCGCCGGATATTCGAGATACATGCTTTTCTCTCGTTTCAGCACACACACACAAACATACCATAATGGTATAAATATTAAGATTAATGAAGAATGATGAGGTATTGATCTATTTTGTGCTACTTGCGCTATTTAATCTATCTAAATTCTTTTTTCTCCTTCAGCATGTAACCTTATTAATACAGGTGCAAAAGAGTGATCAGCGGCGCTAATAAGGTGGTAAGGCACACTTAGACGTAATAAATATCTGCTTTTTCGAGGGGGAAAAGCAGTTTGAATAACAGAATAAGAATATAAGCATTTTTTGTCGAACCTTAATTCAAATTTAACGCAGTACCTTTTTTTATTATTAAATTTTTTTTTAGACGCACTATTTTTTGTTGCTCTTACATATAGAGAATTAAATTTGTACGCTATATATTTTACAGTTTCCCGATCCCCGAAAAATGCAGATCAACCTGACAGGTTTCCTGAACGGCAGGAATGCCCGTTCTTTCATGGGTGAATTATGGGATCTTCTAGTCTCTGCTCAAGAAAGTGTTACGGGCATTCCCGAGGCTTTCTTGCAACAAAAGAAAGATCAGATTAAAAAGCGCTTGGTAATTATTAATTTTTATTTTTAGACCTCTATTTGTAAACATGCAGTTTTTATTAAATGGCTATCTGAAAGAGATGATTATATGTATACCTAATAATAATATTGTGATTTTGTATAATAATATTATAAGATCTTAATTCAAGTATTAAAATTCACATACATATATTTAAATATTAAAATTCACAGACATATATAATGCATTTTACATACATATGATAAATTTTTTTATATTTTCACTGCTTAGATATAGTTCAAGACTATATAAATAATTAGTCATGTTTAGCATTGTGCAAATGCATTATATAGTTTTGCATATATAGTTTTAAAAGCATTGTATAATAATATTATAAGATCTTAATTCAAGTATTAAAATTCACATACATATATTTAAATATTAAAATTCACAGACATATATAATGCATTTTATATACATATGATACATTTTTTTATATTTTCACTGCTTAGATATAGTTCAAGACTATATAAATAATTAGTCATGTTTAGCATTGTGCAAATGCATTATATAGTTTTGCATATATAGTTTTAAAAGCATTGTGCATTGTGCAAATGCATTATATAGTTTTGCATATATAGTTTTAAAAATCGTAAGCAATAAATACACATTTTTTATTACTTTTTTTCTTTTTTACTATATTTTACAATCAATCCATGAATATTTGATTAATTAATTTGTTTATTCTTTACATCTTATTTTGATTCATTGTGTGTATATATATATTTTCTGAAAAAATTGATGCATATCTGTATTAGTATCCCATGAAGTTTTCTAACAAATAGATAAACAATTGACTTACTACATTTTGACATTCAATGAAATATTCAATTAAATGTAGTGAAATGGATGACATTAATTTCAGTTTAATTATACTTAATTGTGAAAGAAACGATATCTTGTATAAACAACAAAAGTTTACATTATGTTGTAATATGTCAAATTAGGAAGAACAAGAGAAGCTTCAAGCATCGTTGGCAGAGAAAGAAAAGGAGAAGGAGCGTGAAAAGGAAAAGGATGACGCGGAGAGTAAAGTGAAAAAGGACGAGAAGGATAGCAGCTCATCAAAGGAGCGTAGCAGAAGGGATCGTAGCAGGGATCGTGATAGAGACAGGTACTACTCTCATCGAGAAAAATATAGTTTTCAAAAAGTATATTTATAAGTAAAGTTTCGTTATACAATATAAAAGTATATTTATATATATATTTTGTGTTTTATATTTTTTCAACGTAGAAATAAAAGGAGCAGATCGCGGGATCGGCACAGAGATCGCGATCGATCGAGTCGAAAGAGGAGATCCGTTTCAAGATCACCAAGTAAAAATTCGCTGAAAGATAACGCAAAAGATATGCCTGAAGTTAAGATCGAACGAGAAGACTCGCCGCAACCGGAAAATGCCATACCTTTGATGCCAGTTAAAACTAAGCCGTAAGCAATATAAATCACATTTGTGCATAATTAAAATATATATCATTGACTGAAAAAAATCGAAATCTTATATATATTTGCAGGGAAGCTGCAGTAGCAATATCAAGATTGCAAGCTAAATTGATGAGCATCGCCGATGGAAAGAAGAAGAATAATCGCACGCCTTCGCCAGAATCGCTAGATAAATCAGTAAGAAAATCGCGATCTATATCTAAATCACCGGTGAATCGTTCAAAGAAATCCAAATCTAAGTCACCTAGCCGGGATTCGAAAACGCGTCGCTCACGTTCGCCTGCTTCGAAGTCAAGACGGTCCCGCTCCAAGTCAAGATCTCGGAGATCCCGATCTAAATCCAGAAGAACCAAGTCGCGCTCGCAGGATCGCGCCAAGTCAAAGCGAAGCAAATCCAAATCGCCGAGATCACGATCACGATCGCGATCCAAGAAATCACGATCCAAGAGCGACGATAGGAGTAAATCGAGAAAATCAAGATCTGATTCGAGCGATTCGAAATCCTCGAAGTCTCGCTCAAAGTCTCCGGATAAACGAAAAGATAATGGGGATTCTAATAGAAAACGCGACGGTACTACAAGCAGCAGCTCAGAATCTGAAGAAGAGAAAGATGCAAAAGATAAGAATGATTTCGAGATACGAAAAAAGAAAGATGGTGTACAAGCTAAAAGATCTTATCGAAAAACCAATAAGGATGACAGTGGTAGCGATAGCGATTCCAGTCGAGAAAGAAAATCAGCTCCTAAGAGAAGAAGCCCTTCGCCGCGTAAGGACAGAGGTCGGTCCAAGGACAGAGACAGAAATAGGTCACGGGATAGATCGCGAGACAGGTCACGAGATAGATCGCGGGATAGATCACGAGATAGATCACGAGACAGAAATCGAAGGTAAGATTTACAAATCGCATGAAAGCTATCTATAATATATTTATAAATTCGAGACATGATGATACATCAAATTTATTTGAAATTGATATATCACATTCGTAAATTAATGATAAAGAGATGCTTCCAATTAAATATTTTCTTAAGAAAAGTCAAAGATTTCTTTTTGAATAAATTTCGAATGCAGTATTTCAATCTTTATACAGAAAGTAGTTGAACGAAGATTGACATAAGAGCTTTCTAATAAGAAAATACAAGTAGATACAATGTCATGCTCGAATAGAGAATTTTTGAAATTCCAAAAGTTTTCCATTTGTGATAGCTATGTGTGTTTTTGTTGAAGAGCTCTTTCAATTTATAAATTCTCGATATTCTTTTTATTCTTTAGGAGATCATTGGATCGAGATCGTGACAGAAGACGGGAGCGAGAACGCGAAAGGGAGAGAGAAAGAGATAGATTGGATCGCTACAGCGGCAGCCGTGGCATGCGACCACCTTCTGTTCGCAGACCACTTAATAGGCGTAGGTTAGTATATATATATATATATATATATATATATATATATATATATATATTTTTGCACATTAAATAAATCTTGCTTTTATATTTCATATAAATAATATATAATAAAATAATATAATATATATTTCATATACATAAAAAATTGTTCCAATAGCCCTCCGCGCAGAAGTCCGACAAGATATCGTCGTAGATCACCGAGTCCCGAAGATAGGCGTCGCAGAAGATCGTTGGATCGTCGAAGGCGATCGTCGGAGAGACGTGACAGACGTCGATCACCCGATCGCCGTGGCAGTCGACGTCATTCGCCGGACGGACGGGATCGATCGAGCAGGTACGATAGATCTTCCTCGCGTGACAGATCAAGTAGGCGGGAGCGCTCCAGAGAACGACGAGATAAGGATCGTCGATCTAGATCCAAAGATCGTAGATCGAGATCCAAGGATCAGAGATCATCGTTGGATCGTTCGAGAGACGGGAAGCGGTCTCCCGATCGTTCAAAGGAAATCAAGGATAAGACAAGGGACAGGAAAGTGGATGAGAAAACTAAAAGACTGCCTGATACAGGATCGCGAAAAGAATTGCGAAACGGCCGGTCTAAATCAAGTAGCTCGGAAAGTAGCGAGAGTAGTTCCTCTAGCAATGAGGACGAGTCACTTAGGTGAGTGAAATTTCCACTTTGAACACGATACTTGGTTTTACAGAATCTGCGATTGGTGGATGATAGTAATAATAATAATAAATCTGTCGATATATATGTGTGCAGTACGGATATGTGAACGTGGTGTATCCGTGGTTTATCATTTGTTAATATATATGTTATAATAACTTTTTTTTTTACAGATTATGTATGTATATGTGTATGTATTATTCTGTGTTTGTATAGAAAATCGATTGAACGCAAAACATCTCAGGAGAAGCGGGAAAGAGAACGCGAACACGCGGATGATTCTAAGAAAAAGGAAAAGGAAAAAACAGTGAAGGAAGAACAATCTAAGCGGCCAGAAAAGGAGATCAAGAAGATAGAACCTGTTGCTGCGAAAAAGTCGGAACCTAGTGTTTCTCCTAAGAAACTTCAAACTGCTTCTCTTCCTATTACCAGACATAGAGTAAGTGTAATAAATTTTACATATGATCAAGTGAATAACGCATATATATATATATATATGTCGAAGTATATAATATATATTTATAATAATTTTTTTTAAATACATTATTATCATATATATACATTAACATATATTATTTCAAATATACATATATATATTTTCACAATTTATATTTATAAAATATAGATGAATTGTTTTATGAGACTCGTTTTTTTTTAATTTTTTCCAGTTTTCAAAGAGCTTATCGCGTACACCCTCGCCGTTTAAGAAGACCGAAGACATCATGGCAGCAGCCATTAAAATTAAACAAACTATTAAGTATGTTGCAAAATTATTTTACTTTATCAATAATATTCTCCATATTTTATAAGTAGTATTATTGATACTATGAGTATATACATTTTATTTTCAGGGAAGATACCAAGGACGAATCGCCGAAGATTGGAGAAACAAATTTCGCCGCTGGAGATGTTTTCCCTCTAAAAAAAGACGAGAAATCTTTAAAAACGACGAAATTAATAGTAGAAGATAAAAAGTCTACACAGAAATCATTAGAATCTTCATCCAAGAAACCTATGGAAGTGGTTAAAAAAACGAAGAGAGAAAAGCGGGATGGTTCCACAGACAGTGAAGATAGTGACGGCGAAAGTAAGATATACGTTTTAATTAACTGTAGTAAATTAATGTTCCGTTTCTTTTAAGGTATTTATTTTACAGGTAAAAGAAAATCAAGAAAGTTAGAGAAATCGAAGAGGTCGAGGAAAGCATCGACAGATGAAGACAAATCTGATAAAAGTAAAGCAGGATCGAGTTCAGATTCTGAAGATGATAAAAAGCATTCAGATAAAAATAAAAAATCTAGAGATCGAACTGGTAAGTTTTCTTTTGTTTCTTTAAGATTGGTGTGTGAAAAATATATGCATAATTATATATAATGTATTAATATGATTTATATAAATTTAATTTTTAATACTTTACAATAGATTCGACGGATGATCGCAGCAAAGACAGAAAGGATAGTAGAAAACGCGACATTGCTGAAAGTGATTCTCGAAAGCGTTCAAAAAAAGAAATAGAGGAAGAATTAAAAAAATCAAAAAGATCGCGGAGAGATTCTTCTTCGGGTGAGGAAGAGCAAAAATCTAAAAGAAGCAGAAATGAAGATGATAGATCAAGATCTCGAAAATCAAAGAAAGATTCGAGTTCCGATGAAGAGCCCAAGAAAATAAAAAAAAGGAGAGATACTTCATCAGACGAAGAAAAATCTAAATCACGAAAATCCAGAAAAGATTCGACGAGTGAAGATGAATCTAAATCAAAATCAAAGAAATCCAAACGAGACTCCAGTTCAGAAGATGATGATCTTGGAGATAAAGACACGAAGAAAAAAAGGAAAATGGACGACAGCTCAGATGATGAAAAAGTGAAAAAGAAGCGTAAGAAAAAGGCAAAAACTAGCACCAGCGAGTCGGAGGTAATCACTGCGAGGACAACAAATGGTTTTTTTTTTTTTTTTGGTTTAATATTTGTATTATATATAATATTGATAATATGTATTATATATAATTTTGATATTTTTTAGGAAAGTGAAGTAGAAGAAAAAAAGAAAAAAAAGGAGAAGAAACATAAGAAACACAAGAAGCACAAGAAGCATAGGAAGCATAAGAAGAAGAAGGTAGCAGAATCAGACGAATCTGATGTAAGTGAAGGTAATACGGAGGAACTGGAAAAGAAACTTCGAGAAAAAGCACTAAAGAGTATGAAAAAGGGGCATAGCATTGAACGAAGTGATTGAGAACGAGAATTGATCACGTACGATGTGTCATGAATATATCTCTGTATCGCAAAACATTCTAATTTTACAAATATGATAACTTTTGTTTCATATCAACACAATTGGATTATTATTTTCTGTATTATATATATATATATATATATATATATATATATATATATATATATATATATATATATATATTTATATTTCACTCAATCCCTTCGAAACAAGTCTTTAAACGGTATTTGTGAAATAATTCTCATACAAGCATATTCGGGAAAATATGATTGAGATTTTCCAGTTTTTACATTCTACAATGAAATTACAAAAATTTTCTTCTAAAAGAAAACAGTGTACTTATTCATGTTGATACTATTCTTTTAGGTTGTAACATAAAGATTTTTCTTTTCGTTTCTCTATTCTTTTTAAGAACTTGATATAAATAATATTAATTATACATTTCATCACACTTCAGTTCCTAAACACATTTTAAAAAAGAGTAGGGCTTGTATACAGATTGATTTATTTGTATAAAAGTTTAGTCTTTAATGCAATTTTAGAGAATACAATAAGCATATCGAATAATGTTACGGCACACAATTCATATAAGAATTATCAAAAACCTACTTTGCAGAAACCTCAAAATATGCCACCTGAATGATATAGTCATTTCTATTTTACAGTGACTCCTAATTTCTTCTAGACATCAGAATCGCCATACCGAATTTACAGAATGTAACATAATTTATTTAATGACTTACTAATTCTCTAGTACACACTGGAAAAGAAAATACAGAATTACTCACAATTATAATCTGCGTTACACATTGCTCACAAATCCTTCAGTTCTCGATATCCTTTTACATGAACCTTTTATTAAAGATTACGTTTATAGATTTACGAATTTTTCAATATACTTTCCACGTCTGGCAAACAAATTAATTGATTATTTACAGAACCAAGATTGATAAGATCGCCAGTTAATGACACAGTATCCACTTTTGCAGCCAAAAGCTCCTATATATACATAATAATTTTATAAATAATTGTGATAAAATATTGCAATATTTAATAAGAATTAAGAACTAGAAACACGATTTACCTGTTGAAAATCTTGCTGTACATTAATATCAATGGAAAAACGTTTATCGCCAAGACATAATCTCGCTTTACCAGACTTCAAAATTTCGATTTTGCCTAATAAACCACTTTTTAAGCTATTCAAGCCACTACTTTCACTTTTTGTTTTATCGTCATTTTTACCAGTATTCGCGTCAGTTGATCCTTCTGACTTTGATTCTTCTTTATTGGATTCTAAATTTTGCCAACAATCTGGAAGCTATTAATTGGTTCTTAAACTGAGCAATAATTATATATCGATAACTGTAACAGAATATATCTTACCTGCATTAATACATAAGGGTTAGTTTTATTTTCGATTATTTGAGAAATGGTAACTTCTTTTTTAATTTTTTCGCTTAAAGTTTCTTCTTTTATATTTATAACTGTGAAACAAAAAAAACATAAAAATTTGATAAAATTATGGAAGAAATTATAATCTTACCTTCGCCACTTTCTGAGATGATTGGTTTTTTTTCAATTTCTTCATCACTAAATTCTTCTTTTATAACCCTTGGTAGCGAAATAGGATCCATCTTATCAGCATTTGTACCATCGTCCATAAAATCATCGTGTAATAGGTTCTTTAATTTTTCTTCTTCTTCCGCATTATTGATAATCTTCTTCGTATTTAGTTTAGATTTTTCCAGATATTTTTCAGCACCTGTACTATTGCTACTATTGGAACTACTATAGGATCTTCTGCTAACAGTAGGTGCTGCAAATACTCCTTCCGACCATATACCAGCAGACTAAAATATAAATATATAAGTGTATGTAAAACAATATTATGATTTATGCAAATTGTTAAAAGACATTTAGTATATATTGGATATACTTGTATTATGTTTCCCTTGTCTTTTCCATGCCTGTTATTTCCTCTTCCTCGTCCTCTTCCACGATCTGTGACATCCTTTGGTTTTGGAGCATCAATCTTAACTGGTGTTGCTTCACTGAAGATGACATTATCCCTCTCTTTAGCATTTATATAATATATATAAAACCATTCATTATTTAATATGCTACTAATACTTACTCTTTTTTTTTAGTTCTCTGTACATTAAGATTCGGTACATATACTTTTTTGGGTTTTTCAGGTTTAACACTACCACCTAATGTCAGATCTCGTGGCAGCCGATAGGATGTTAATCTCTGCGTACCTGGCATTTTTTTATATTTAATACTACTCGATAGAGATTTAATCTCAACAATAACACGGCTTCGTGACGTTTGCGGCCATGAGAGACGAAGGAAGCATCAACTCTTCGTGAGCCATGAGGTGGCGCTGCGAATATCGATAGTTTCGATATTACGAGAATCGAAACGCCGTTCGATAGATTTCGAATCCGTAGCCATTTATACGCGTGCGGAAGTCATGTAAGCGTCGTTGGCGTCTCTCTCGGGAATATTGAAGAAAAGTGAGTTTTGCGTGCGAAAAGTTATCGCGAGGTGTATTGTGAAGTGTTAAATATCCGTGGTGACGTGTCGTACATTGTATAATTGTCATTATACCTGGATATCGCGACTTCGAGGTGTCATCAATCCCGATGTCTTCGCCGACCGATCATCTTCGCAGTATCTCAAGTTATTAATTAATTAATTTCACCGACGTACCTCGATAATATAACGAATATATCAACATCGTACGAACAGAGGTATGCTTTAATTACCTGTATCAATTACGCTTTTCGTAATGTTTCAATAAGGAACATCGTTTTCTGATTTCGCACGTATTTATAAGATATAATTATTGCAATAAAGAGAATCTTAATCGAATTACAACTTTCAGATCAATAGTAGACTCATCAAAAATAATCTTGGCCATTAATTTGATATCTGGGGGGAGATTATTATTTATCGCATTATTTTCCTCCATCGAAATTTTTCTCGCAAAAGCGGGATCGAGAAGGGACTCAAGTTTAAGCGACGAGATAATATTAAAGACCGCTATATAAACGGTATTGGTCGCGGCGCGGCAATCTGCGTTAGACGGGCGACGTTTTCAGGACGACTAGTAGCATAGTGACATGGGCAGGCGGAGAGCATAGCCGGTGTGGATGAGGTCATCGTATGGTTTTTTAGCTGCGCCGCGCACGCCGGCAGTCGCGACGCGGAGCGCCCGAACGCCGGCCGCTGCTGCACGCGTTCCCGCTGCCGCCGCACGAGCGAGCGAGCGGTGATCCTGCTGGCGAGGAGAAGAGAGAGAGAGAGAGAGAGGGGAAGAAAGAAAGAAAGAGAGAGAGAGAGAGAGCCAGGACATGGGACGACGTGCCACGTGCCACGGCGTCGTACATGTCAGCCGTGCCCGCGAGTGCACCCAGATCGTCCTCCGGCAGGAGGTGAAATCGCCCCGATATCCGTTCTCCTTTTTCCCATTTGCACGATCGGGACAGGATACCGCGAGTGAATATCTCTGAGTTGAAGTTGAGGATCCTGCACGGCGAGCATGAATCCGCGATCTCGATCGACAATGTGAGAAAGGATCTACTTGAGGCGAAAGGGAAATTTTATTTGTCCTTTTTGTACCGTTTTTTTTTTATTGATATATGGGAAAGTGAGTGAATCGCGAAGAGGTGTTTTGCTAACTGAAATAACTCGTAAATTAATCGTGTTTAATCGTTTATCAAGCGATTTTAATTATGACAAGAAATGAGCCACTTTCTGATTCAGTCAGTTATTGGATTATTTTTATCATTCCTTGGCGAGTACTCTCTCTTTCTTTCCTTCTTATTTTTATAATTTATATTAGTTGCTTTTGCAAGAAACATACCTCGATAAGGAGCTATTTTAAAGATATTTCTCAACAAGTTTAATTTGCATAGTAAAGACTTTCTTCATGGTGACAGTTTCTTTTATAATTTCATACGATTACTTTCATAATGCCCAGCTGTTGCGTGGAGTTACAGGTCGTTGCGCATGATAATCGTGTTACGATCGTATGCGTGTCAAAAACTGGGAATTAAAACCGGTACAGTTTTAATGATTTATGTTTCTATCTATGAGATATGAAAGTAATCTCTAGTCACCTGCAAATATTGGAATAAGATATATTTTTCCTATCTTATCTATTCATACATCTTCTTATCTTATTTTGTAACATCGAATTTGTATTTATAGTATCAAAATATCGAAATTACATATCAATTATATCAATTATTAAGTTATATTTAATTTATAAAGAATTATAGTATATGTATATATTTCAATCAGCGATCATCTTCCATTCGTTACTGTTTATATCAACACAGAATTCAATATCAGTCTTTCTCTCATTCATGGCATTCCGCGACAGCCGAACTGTCATCGAAATTGCAGTAGTTTGAATTCGTAAATATGTGACATTGCAAAAGCAAGGTGAATTGATTTTAAATCACCGTTTCCGTTTCTCGGGCGTAGAAGAGCGGATTTGGAATTCGGTTAGCCGCAACCAACTTCTTAAACCTGTTCTGTACTCCCCCTCAGACATCGGATACATCGACGAGTTTTCGAGCAGCCGATGCATCTGAGAGAACGTCTTCCCCTGAAAATCTTTTGCGCGCACGTCGAGAATCGTTTCTTTCGGAATCCTTAACTTTTTCGTATCTGCTGGAAGATCGATCTCGCACACCTTCTCAGATCTTTACCGTTTTTTACACGAACGTGCGTAACAATGATATTTAACGGCCTTTAAGAAATATTTCGTGCGTGTTCTAAAAACAAAAGAAATTTCAACAACATTATTTTAGAAATGTTTATTCATTTTTTTTTCTTATTATATTCATTTTTGATATTATTCATTTATTTCTATTTACGATAACAATAACAAGGATGTCAACTCGATTGTCTCGAAAAAGTTAATAATTTATTTATATATTAATTATAGATTGAGGTAAAATATATGAATAGAAAGAGATATTTTTTTTAGATTTAAAACTGACAACATTAATGTTCAAATTTTGAATTGCGCTCTAAACGATGACACATCGTAATTTGCGGGCAGATAAAAACTGTATATCCTTGCGCATACAACCGCATTTCATAATTTAAAGTCTCTCACTAGAACACGATGTACAGAAAGAATAACAGATAAATATTGCTAATATATTTAAGATAACGTTGCACGATGTACAACGATACACAGATATAAATTCTCGTTCTCGTAATAACACGTATTTTGATGAAATAAAATAAAACATAATAATATATTGTTGCACGAAAAAAAAATTATTTTAAATATCGCTAAATAGGTACAAAAATCATCATTATTTGAATAATCAATTTTTTAAAAATATTTCTTTGAATTGAGCATTAAAATGATTTTGTATATTTAAAGGAAATATAGGATAAGATTTTAAATATTAAAAAAAAACATTAAATTTAAATATTAATGTTATACGTCATTTGTATAGAATAAATAATCTAATTATTTTAATTATACATATACAAATTAAAGTAATCAGATCTTTTTTATATTCTATAATTGAAAGATATGCAATATAATATTTACATAAGGCATATTAGTAATATTTATTTTAATAATATTTTAATAATATGTAGACGTGTTTTTACTTTCTTATGCCTTTTTTAAATTAATTTCTAGAATTTTTTAAATCAGTACAAACGAGCGCGTGCTCGGATAGCACGTGCTCGTGAACATTGCGATGCGCATGCGTGCATCCTCGAGATGTCGCGTTTCAAATCTTGCGTCTCGCAGATAGAAATGCGCATTCTTCGCCCAAATGTCGCACGGTGTTTTTTCGTAAGAAACGACGGAATAAACTGTAAATTATTTTCAACAAAATTGTATCTGTTATCGTTCAAAACAAGCTATTTTTACTTTTATAATTTTACCAATCACGAACAATTTGAATATTAATGCAAATATCAATACTTTGCTCAACTTTATATTAGTGTTCGCAAAATTCGCGAATAGTTACGCGTAAATAAATTTTCGAATTTTAACACATGTGACAAGAATCAATAGGAAGTTTATTAATATCCAGAACACAGATTCTCTCTCTCGGTCGCGAAGTAAAAAGTAACATTAAGTATTATATTCTCGTGTCGTGATTTGGCCCACAAAAGTGGACTTTTTACAACGACGTGCTTGTGAATAGGACGTGAAAAACTGAAAACTGATCGAAAATCAGAAATATTAATCTATTGGAAAATGAACGGTGTGCCACGGACTCATATTGAAGCCTTCGACGTCAAGGTAAACTGTATTTTAATTTACTTTACTCTTACTGCCTCTTGTGAAATCTACGAAATCTTACTCTATGCGTGTGTCATTGATCTTTTAAAACCAAATAGTCAAGTGTTTAAAATACATTTGTTCCGTTTTATATAGTTTTCAAGTTTATTTTTTTATTCAAATCATTTCAGAATATTTTATTTTTACAATTTATGTAATGAATTTTTTGCTATAAATATATCAACTAGTATAAATGACATTTTCATTAAAAAAATGGTCACTATCTTTTGCAATTTATTAATTCGTTGACTCTATGCTTTAGCATACAGTTTTATTGATCGAGACACATGCTTTTTGTTTGCACGCAATTGTATATTTAGCTATGTACTGCGCATTTATTTCAGCATTATATCTAAATTACTTAAATTCACATCATTTTTTGTATAAATTATAATTTAATGAATTTAGTACGTTTATGAAATAGAAATTACTGAATAAAAATAAACGGCTTATTACAATGTTAAAGAAAGACATTGTATATAGAAAAAGAAACAGAAAGAGGTATAAGAGATACAAAATCATGTTTTTGCATCATTGTTTCAACATCATAACATGAATTAATATAAGATAGTGTAATTTATGTCATATTAATTTATACCAGAAATTTATTTATTTATATTTAGATTTGAACAAAATAAAGTCCAAATAACATCCAACAAATAAAATCCATATTGAAACACTTAGAAAAAACTAGCGGTGCTATATATTTAATCGAACAATTCCAAGTGTATTTTTCCATGACATGTTCTCTGAAGGCTTGTGTCTAGTGGATCGAATCAATGCAATTTGAGTTTATACAATATACATCGTATCATATAGTCACAATGACCGTGGCCTGCGTAACCTAGTACCTGCAATGACCTTGATTATTTCGTACTATCCTATAAATATTCGATTGTGAATACGATTGCCAATGATTATTAAATATCAAATGTTCCATTGCATTCCTTTCATAGGTATTTTTTCACGTAATTAAGTTATTAATATCTCTTTCTAATAATTGCGTGTTATTGCAACATAGATATAGATTT